CTTAACAACTGATGTGATAATTCCTGCCTTCAGCTTCAGAATTTAAACCCCAGTGATCCCTCCTCCCTCCCTTTCTCTTGGCAGATGAGTGATTTAGGCATAGCAGGGGTGGGGATAGACTGTTTCCTGATAAACGATCACAACCAAACAGTAATTTACTTGTCACAGTTGAAGCGTGGCAGCAAGCCAAACGCTGGCCTGGATGTGGAAAATAGCAGGAAGAAGTTAATTGAGGAACTCGGGACAGGGGATGGCCCCCGTGTTTCGGCGAGCGAGGTCAGGTGCAGCCCTATCAGACAGCCTGCCCTTTGTCTGCACGCTGCCCTAACCAGCGGTGGTTATCCGATACTGTCTGTCATTTCCATGTTTGCCTTCGTAGGACGATCATTTTAAACTCCCAACTAATTCCTGATCTTTCAATTAGATAAATTGCTTTCATACCAGGAGAGCTGAACTCTGCACCTGCTGGAGAAGGAAAACAGACAAACCTGGTGCAAAAAGTGCGGAAAATTTGCCAATCTTTCACCTTCCGTACTTCCCTGAATATTGCTTGCGGAGGTTCCCAGTCATCCAGGACATGGTAATTCTAGGTGCCATTGGTTCTCAAAGTTTTTAACCCATAGAAAAATAACGAAAGACGTGTCCGCAGCAGTCACTGACTGAAGCAATTTAACAAGTCATACAGACACCAACAGGAAACCATAATACAACTTTTATCCAGTTACAATTAATGGTTTTTATTACCTAAATACATCAAAATGTAAAAGTTTGGAATGACTTTTACACTCATCTTGATCAGTGGTTTTAATGACAATTGTATGCTTTGTGTACTTTTTCATCTTTTTTTCATTTTAAAATCAGATACTGAAAAATAAAAAAATGGATGATTTTCTATTTTCATTTTATACTAAAAAAAAGCCACATTTTGAATTATCAGTGAATAAAAATAAAGAAATAAATAAGTCAGCTGACACCTGTTAAAGAAATGTAAAACAAGTTAGCTAGCCTTTTTTTTTATTGTGACTGCCTGGTTAAATAGTTAAAACGTAAAATGTGTTTATTCATCCCTCTATTAGACCATTCAAGGTGGAGCGAGTTAAATCATTTAAAAAGAAATTAGCTAGTCTATATCTTTATTAATAACGTAAATGCAGTTTGCAGTTAGCTCCATTGGGGTAACCCAGGTTTAGCTAGCTATGTGTTACATTCATTTGTAACATTCAGCGGAACGCCCGCATGCCATTTTTGTTTCGTTTTATTTTGAAATGCCGTTCTGTGTTTCTGTTCAACCTGTTTTTTTAATAATAAACGTTATTTACAAATTAACAGTATACAATCATAAACTGCAATGTACTCGAAGAGAGAGAGAACAACAGGCACAAAACATGCAAAAAACAAAACATTCAGAAGACAAATTAAAAGGTCACAATCCATAATCTTCACACAAAGTTTTTAGTTTTGTAGCTTTAGAGTTAGTGCATATTTTCAATGAGTCCATAAAACAATTCAGAAAAGCTCTGAAAACAGTGATATTGGGTTTTTGTTTCGTGAATTTGCTGGCATGTGGGATTTAGCCAAAAGTAGCCTATGAGAAAGTTCATGACATATTTTATCCCAGATATTCTAATCAAAGACACCAAACAAAACATGTTTTGACTTGGGAACTTTTTAGTTTAACAGGAATATCAAATTTACTATTAAAATACAAATTAAGGTCCCACCAAAAGGTTTTACTAATTGTGCAGTCCCAGAAAAGATGGGTTAATGTTTCATTTTCAAGATGACAAAAGGGACAAAGAGGATCAATATTTGGAATAAATTTAGCCAGAGCTGAGTGTAGGGTAACATCTGTGTAAAATTTGAAATGATTCTTCCCCAACCTTATTCGAGACAAAGAATTTTTTAGGCAGTAACCATATCTTTTCCCAATCTGCATCAATATACAGATTATTCCAATAAAATATAGAAGCAGGTTTACTAATAGTACTCTTTTGTATTATTTCTCTAATATGTTTATTTTTTATTTTAATACTAAGGAATGGATCTGAGTTCCCAATAAATAAATCTGGAAATCGTGGATATTGTACATCAGATCTGTCAGCAGACGATATGAGGAATTTTAAACCTGCTGGGATGGCATCAAAAACAATAGCGAATTCTTTAGGGGATACAGGGAAAATAAATTCAGCAAGGAATTCATTATATCTAAACATTTGACCATCCTAATTCCGTTCAACCTGTGTCCGTGTGCAATGCATCAAAATTGACGTCTAGGCCCTCCTCTTTCGATTGACATCTCATTTGACCAACTGGGTTCAAGTATCGGCTGTCCAGAGCCAATAATATATGAGAAGTGACCAACTTCCGGTTTCTGTCATCCTGGGTTTGATTGACTGTAGAATCGACCAGTCAACTCCGAGCTTCATTCTGATGCTACAGCTGTGTAGCCAATAACCGTACCTTTCATTTGGTATGTATATATTGAGGGGGTGGGAACTTTGTTTAGTGACGGACAAGGTAAACACGGAACGGGTCACCATATTTAGACAGTCGTGCTACGCTACTGAAAAATGCTACGCTCACAGGAAAATGTTTTTTCCCATCGTTTTTTTGGCCAGTTAGTTGACTAAACATGCTGATTAGATGAAAATATATTTGTTATTAAGTGTTTCAAGTGCTTCAAGACATGGAACAGTGATTTTTGTGGCCAGGAGAAGTAAAAATCTTTGGATAAAAACACTTCCAGTCGGCCATTTTGAGTTGCTAATTTCATCATATTTGAGGACAAACATGCATCAAATGTAAGTGAAAAATAAATATTGTTTTCACTGCTGGTGTTTTTATAAGCTGTGTGGAATGTTAATGGTTTGAAAGAAATATTTGTTTATTCTTGTGGTTTGGCTGTTTATTGGTGGAAATGTGGCTGAATGTGCTCCAGTTAGTCTAAATATTTCTGAACATTAATTTAATTAATCAATTTAATCACGCTGTGAGTAAATATGGATGGTAGAATGTGTTTTGTGGGGATCTTATTTTTAATTTGAGCCCAGAGTGAAGTCCCTGTGTTGAAGCATTTAGAAATTACAGTGTTTTAGACAAAGTTTGGACATTTTGTACAGGTGTACAAATATGCAAATGAGACATGCTGGATTGCACTTGGTCTCAAATATTCATATTAGGCTATATGCTACTGTTACCAAATTTGAACTGGTGATATTTGAGAATTAATATTTTAGCCCATTAAAAATTGTTTATTGATGTCTCATTCCCTTCATATTCTGTGATACTTTATTAATAAAAAATAAAAATTTAGGGAGAAAATATCTTGATTTTTGTGTAGTTTACTTCAAAATACTAAATACTAGTTACAGTTACAAAGAATATGACTGCTGAAGTTAAAAATTCAGAGCATTAGCTTTAAAGAGACCAAGCTTGTTCAAAAGCATTACTTCTTTAATTTGTGTCTACTTTTTAAGGCGTTTTATGGTATTTTATGTAAGTAACACAGGACAAAAACATTGAACTGGTAACTAGTTTTCACATGAAAAAAAACCATGTCCTCCACTGTAAGACACAAGTGTTTGCTGTTACAAAAAACAACATACTGCTCCATCATGCAATAACTTTGCAGTTAATTTTAACTTTACAAAGTGGTTGAAAGGTTCTCGGATGCCCCAAAAACTGTATTTAGTTTTACATTTCTTTAACAAGTGTCAGCTAATAGTTTGTATTGTTGATGAATCAAACATGACACTGATTTATGGGCGTAATTTGTAGTTAATTCCAGTAACCATCCCACAATATAATACCATCATTTGCTCTATAAATTAACTGATTAAGCACACGGCTGCAACTCTCTTGTTGTCTTTAGGTAACTTTGACCTGATTTCAAAATGTACATTTCAAATGTACATTTAAGCATGATTGCTGAAAATTACAAATTTTACTGGACCAGGTAAACACATACTCTTGGAAATTTTAGAAATTTAGGTATGTTGCATGACACATCCTAAAAGTGTAAAATATTTGTTATTGTTGGGGAAAATGGGGTGGGGGGTGGAATGTAAGCCTTTTGTTGAACTGATGTGGAAGAGAAAAGGTGCAGAGTAAATATAAAGAAAACAGGAAAGTTAAGTAAATCACACTAAAAGCATTACCATTTAACCCTAAATTATCCTGAATTGTTTTATAAAAGTAAATGAATAAATAACAAATAAATAAGCAGAAAGCATAACCTTAGTAGATTCTGGTGGTGTTGAGTTGCCTTGGCA